TTAAGCTGCACTTTGGGCACTGGGCACCACCAGAATGCAACGTTGGCTCACTGCAAACTGCTCTGTTGCATGGAAACAGCTTTGGAGCTTCTGGGCAGGGATGCAAGCAGATGAAAATGGTCCCACTGGAGGTTAGTGCTGTGCTGAACCTGTGCAGGACAGCAGAAACTGGAGCAGCCGACAGTCCATGCTCTGCCTGCTGCAATGCTCCCACAGCAGCACTAGGAAACCAGTTTGGGAGTGTTACACAAACAAAAACAGGCAGGGTCAAGGCCACCAGCCCTTCCCAGGGTGTTTTGTAGCACAGCATCCAAGCACCTTACATTTTGCAGACACAGTACTACCAGGACACATCATGGCTCTGTCCTGTGCCAGCCAGCAGTGCTGCTCCCAGGCTGTGCTTTGCACAAACTCCTGCAATTTCAGAGGCACAAATGGGCAGAAGAAGGTGCCTTGCACACTGCCATCCCCTTGCACACTGCATTGCCTTGCATATTGCCATCCTCTTCCACCAGAAGAAGCACGAGGGAAAAGATCCACCAGGAGAGCACACGAGGCATCTGCACCTGCGCAGGGTGCATAACAAATGTGACCTGATTGGAGAACATAATATTACTTTCAATGCAAAAATGACTTATGTCTCATGCAGTGATCAATCACAACGTTACCATTCGCAGGCGCAGAGGCGGTCCTGAAGCCCCGAGCTCCATCGTCCCGAGCACAGCCACCAAAGGACCTTGGTGGGGAAGAGGGCACCCGGCCGCGGCACACCGAGGGCCAAGCAGGGAAGCGGGGTGGGTGAGGAACTGCTGTTTGTTTCAGCTGCAGCACGGACTGAAGGAGCCGTGAGGTCGGCGACGGAACAGCTTCCCTCTCAGCGCATCGCAGCACCCCGTTGCCCCGGGCCCGGTTCCAACCCGACATCCCCGCGTGTCCGACCCGCACCTCCGGGCCACGCACAGCGCGTCCATCCCCGAGCATCGCCGGAACGGCAACGGCCCCACCTGGCGGGCGGGTCCGAGGGCTGGGAGCGGGGCTCGGCGGCATCCCGAGACAACCCGCTGCCGGCAGCGGCCCCCCGGGAGCACCGCAGCCCCCTGCTGCCCCGCGGTGCTGCGCGATGCTGAGCTGGATGCGGGCACCGCATCTCCCGGCCACGGGGCCGCAGCACTCCGGGGCCGTCCTGCCGCAAAAAATCGGCAGGGAACTGCAGAAAAAGTTCTGAAATGTTCCTTGCTTGAGTGTTTGCATGCTCATAGCCCAAGGAGCGTGCTGAGGGGGGAGCTGCATCCCAGCACTCGTCTCCAAATGGATGCTCGTAGGTGTGCTCAGACACCACCGACTCAATACGTTTGCCTAGGGCCAGCAGGAATGGTAAAAGAAAAAAGAAATTAATTAAATCAGCAGCATGGATCACAAGGGCAGTGTGGGATGCGTTAGGGTGGGACTTGGGGATCTGAGAGGTCTTCACCAGCCTTTGTCACTCCGTATCTCCTGTGCAATGTGAAGCACACCCGGCCCCACTGCCCGGGGTGGGCAGCAAAAGGGTCAGGAGGTGAGAAGCTGTGGGGTTGGTGCTCCAGGAAACCATGGGAAGAGGCACACGGAGATGATGGAAAAACAGGGGAAGAAATACTCGCTTTATTTCTAAGCTTGGCACATTTGTATCTCAGCCAATTGGCTTAACTACAACTTGCAGTCCTCATTTTGAAATATGGGCATTTCTCTGCTGGAAATGCTGTCCTCGAATATTTCCTTCGTCTGAAAGCTGCAAGGGTCAATACATCAGCACTAAAGTCTGCTGAGTGCCTCGAAATAGGGCGATATCATTTCCAAAAGTAAGTGACCACTAGGCTGCCGTTAGCCTGACATTGCAGAGGAGGAGATGGCTTTTTGCAACTTTGATTTACTGACAATTGTTGGAAAAGAAGCAAGCAAGAAATGAAAGCCCAATATTTCCATTACAGCTTACTTAACGAAAAAATATGGTAGGAAAGTCAGACATCATAAAATGCCTATCTTCTCACTATATTTACAGGCTTGTACAGCAGTGTGAGCCAGGGCAGGAATCAATGTGGAGCAGAGCTCAGAGTGCAGCAGCACTGCAGGGCAGGGCAGCCCGGTCCCAGCAGCAGTGCAGCATGGCTGTGGCCATTTGCCCCACAGAAACCAGATGGAAGGCTCAAGTTTCTCCTCCAGCAAGCCTGCATTATCCCTTTTTGTCTGTTTATCTCCCCTGGACAAGGGGAATGCTTTGACCTCAGGCTCCGGTGCTATAGCCAATCCACTGGGCATCCATGGTGGATGCATCTGGATGTGTTTTGGACCTGGAAGATGTGCTTTGGGCAAAGAGCTGCTGGGGCTCCAGGCAGGAGCAGCAGACCTGAGGTCCATCAGCAAACCCGACAAAATTGCATAATGCTGCTGGGATGGGAGGATGCTGCTGTAAAAGCAAAGAGCCCCAGTGCCGGCGCCAGGCAGCGCTTCCTATGGCTCAGTCAATACTTTAATCTATTCTAATGATTATCATTACTGATGTTTAGTATAATCACCTTGTCTGATACAATTGCTAGGATCTGAAAGTCAACTAGATTTTAATGGTTCATCATTAGGAGCATTATTCAGTCGGATTAAACTGGTCTTAATTCCTCTGCAGCTATCATTTAAATCCATTCGGAGCACGGTATGGCAGCCTCCCTTGTCATGATATGAATCAATGCCCTGCCTGCACACCGTGTATTTCCAGCTCCATTTAGCAAGCAATGGCACAGATGGACACTGAGGTACTACAGCAATTAATATCCACGAGATGCCCCTGCCACCATTAAAGTTTCTTTAAAAAGCACAGCAGCAGAGCATGGATACACTGTGCTGCCCGTGGGCAACCAGAATCAGGAGCCCCAAACTCCTTAACCACAGAACTGGGATCTTCCATGTACAAAACACTAACTTCCCAGCTTCCTGCCATTGAAAAACCAGGGAAAACATTGATGCTGCTGAGGCATTGTACTGGAAACCCTGAGGGACCATTTTTTGTTGCTTCCTCAATGTGCTACAGAGCTTGAAGGCCAGTTAGTAGGGAAGTAACGTGACCACAGAGCAGCCAATGGCACCTATATGCTTTCCATTAGGAGAACAAAACTCATTTCCCTGAGACTAATAATACATTTATCTGTCAGCCAGAATACAAATGTGAATTTAGAAAAAGTGCAGACTTACCCCTTCCTTCACAGGATAGAGGGGCAAATCAAGTTCATTTCTTGTTACTGAAACAAGTGAAACCCATCCTGTAATGGCTACAAGTAACTCTGCACTTGAAGAACCTCCTGCAGACTGCAGAACTCTATTAAGTAAGCTATTGGATGGCTCTGCTTAAAAATGAAACCCTGAAGACACGTTTGATGTTTCTTTTAGTTAATGAGATTTCCATGATAGCTACAAAAATAATATTAGGCAACAATGCCATTAATCCTGGATTACATGCAGCACGGGGGAAAGAATTAGTAGTATAAAGCAAGAAGATCAAGACACTTTGCTTTTCAACAAATAGCTGGTGGAAGTGCAGTACTGTCCTGCCTAACAGAGGTGGTGAGGAGCTGCCTTTTGGTCTCTGCTTTGTGCTGGCACAGCTCTCACCTCCCCTTCCGACATGGGGAGGCTGGATCTGGAAAAAAGGGCTGAGCAAAGTGATGACAAAGAAACCTTACATCTTCAGAGGCAACAGGAAGCAGCAGTGACAGTGGGATGTACCTGCTGGGTGATGACACGAGTGGTTATTGCATATCTAACTTATGCTGCACGGAACTGAGTTCACGTCCCCACATCCAGCAGCAGGGATGACACTGCCCCCACCCTCCCAAAAACACCCAACAGCAAGTTTGTTGGTAGGAAATAATTTTTCCCCCCCAGATACTCACTTAATCTATATGTGAAATATTATACATACGAACTGCCATAAATCAACAACTACTGCTGTGCATTTAGAAAGTTAAATTGTTTTCCATCAGAATTCTTAAATCTTATTAACTTCGTATATCCCGTATTTGGCTGTTTCAATGAACAGCAGGATGAAATAGGGATAAAAAGGCAACCCAAAATAGGATTACATGGAGCAACAGAAGGGGAAATAATCTTTGAAAAAATAATCTAAGACCAAATTCTAACTGCATTAGAAAGTAACAAGTCATGGTTTCAATCAGCAGCCAGGCAGGAGTTTGATAATCTCATGCGCACAGCATATAAATCTGCAAGTGAGACAAATTGCATTTTAATTTATGTACTGAAAAGGTTAACTTCTAATACCCTCTGCTTGCTTAAGAAAGCAGCAAAAATACATTCCCTCACAGCACACACAGCAATAAAGTAAGCAGTGTCACAGGGCTGGATCTCACACAGCCTCAGTGAGGCCACGCTGTGCAGAGCAGCAAAGCGTTGCAGCTCTACATGGCATTCACAAGGCTGCTTCTGAAGCCCCCGATTGCAGCCACTCACATGCACCATGGATAGTGATAAAACAAGGGGGAATGGTTTTAATCTGAGACAGGGGAGGTTTAGGTTGGATATTAGGAGGAAGTTTTTCAGCCAGAGGTTGGTGAGGCACTGGCACAGGTTGCCCAAGGAGGCTGTGGATGCCCCATCCCTGCAGGCATTCAAGGCCAGGCTGGATGTGGCTCTGGGCAGCCTGGGCTGCTGGTTGGTGACCTGCACACAGCAGGGGGTTGGAACTGATGAGCATCGTGGTCCTTCTCAACCCAGGCCATTCTATGGTTCTATGATCACTCCTGGAACAGAAGTTACAAATCAGTTTGCATTTCCATACCCCACAGCAGGGCTGATGTTACCTCACCCCTCCAAACACAGCCAGGCCCCATCTCGTTCTGCAAAGGGAATGAGTTTCATGATGAGCCCAACGGCATGCCAACTCATATTGACTTTGAAGAAACAGCCTTTTTGGTCATAAACTTACTTTCTGAAGCATGAATCATCACATACACATTCAATGAAATATTAACTTGAATTTATTCTCTTGGATCTTATTAAGAATTTCATTAAACACAACAGAGCACTGACAAAATCCCTCGTGCTCAATAAGCAATGACAAGGTACAGTCTCCTTATGTTGTGGTATTGTTTTTTCCCTGTGTAGTACTTACCCTACCCAGCAGCTTGCAATGAAATGCAAGTCCTAGAAAACCATTATCTGCAGCGTATGACAACAAGCAGTAATTATGTTCCACAGAAGGCAAAGGCATTGGTATATAAAGTTTTAATTAAAACAACAAAATGCATAGTGATGCTCTGCAGTGTACATGGGGACCCTACTATCAGTTGGACAGTGATAAAACAAGGGGGAATGGCTTTAAACAGAAACAGGGGAAGTTTAGGTTGGATATTAGGAAGAAGTTTTTCATGCAGAGGGTGGTGAGGCACTGGCACAGGTTGCCCAAGGAGACTGTGGATGCCCCATCCCTGCAGGCATTCAAGGCCAGGCTGGATGTGGCTCTGGCAGCCTGGGCTGCTGGTTGGTGACCTGCACACAGCAGGGGGTTGGAACTGGATGAGCACTGTGCTCCTTTGCAACCCAGGCCATGCTATGATTCTATGATCTCAAGAACTCACACCACAATTCTGCTTTTACATCAGCAATGGATCCTCTGCACTGATGGTTCTTAATTAAAGGGCAATTTTCTTCCATGCAACATGGCCAGACTGAGCAGTACAGAACTCCACGCTGAGTTCAAGGCTCGGGGCTAGTTTTAAAACAGCCGTATTACTGCTATCAAGATGTAGGTTTTCATCTAAAAATTGTCACCTTGTCATATGCATGGCATCATCGTGTCAAATAAATACTCCCAAAGCACCCACTGCTGTGATTCCCATCACAGTGAGAAAGGCAAGCATTCAGGAAAACAAAGACTTAATACAGTTCTGAAGCAACAGAATAAATATTTGCAAATGATGTGAAGATGAAAACGTTAAACAAGCAGTGACAAATTAATGACAAACAAATGAATACCAAAAATAAGTGTGGTTGCAAAGCTCCTGCAGTCTGACCCATCCAAGTCCCCAGGCGTGAGCAGGGCTGAGCACAGCACTATGCATCCTCCTCACCCACAAGCAGTGGCTCCACTTCCAGTGCCACCAAGGCATGTGATCTCTCCTTGTGCTGACCATACAGAAGGAACTGCACAGTCACCTGTTATTTTGGGGTAAGGAAGTAATTAACCAGGATACAGAGGCAGCACTTGTTTCCAATCAAAGACGAAATAAGCTGTGCAGAAGAGCAGCCCTCCATTTAGTGCTGGCACAGACTCAGCGTACCAGAATCTGCAGAGGAAAGCTTAGAACTTATTCACATAGTGTGGAGTATTACTCATTTGTCTAATCCTAACTGTGGAAGGTTCTACATTAGCAGACAAACTTCTCCATATCTTTCTTAATTCTCATTTTCAATGCTGTATGGCAAAAAAGTTCAGTCATTTTATCAATACTAAAAACAGGAAGATACAGGGGAAAAAAAATAAATAAAAATTCCAGATCCCCTTGGTTCTGTGGCTCACATACAAGCGAAGACATTCTTTAGTATCTCTTGCTTTCATGGGTTCTAAGTATGAGATTAATTAGAAGTGGAAGAGGAGCAATGTCCCCCATTGCCCTGTGCTCCTACAGCAAGGTGGGCAGGGAACCCCACTTCTGGATGATGGGAAGGAGGGGAAGCTGGTAAGACCTTCTTAGCAGCAGATCAGCAGGACCTGATCAGAAAACAAGATGCTCGCCGTGCCCAAGGAGGCTGTGGATGCCCCATCCCTGCAGGCATTCAAGGCCAGGCTGGATGTGGCTCTGGGCAGCCTGGGCTGCTGGTTGGTGACCTGCACACAGCAGGGGCTTAGAACTGGATGAGCGCTGTGCTCCTTTGCAACCCAGGTCATTCTGATTCTATGATGATTCTATGAGTCTCATTTCCCACAAAGTTCCACCTCATTTGGGATTTACAGGCACTGACAGCCTGACAACTCTAGGACTCAATATTTAATGCTGTTTTCAACACAGAATTGTGCAATTAGACGTGTTTATTTCTATTGTAAAACAGACCACTGGAAACGCTACTAATCTACAAAGAATTAACAAGCATGTACTTGGTCTTTTTCTTGATAGCTCCAGCTCTGAAACAACACTGCTGGCTTTCAGCAACCCAACCTTTAGATAAATGGGTATGTGCACCTGGAAAGGACGACAGGTCTCACTCCTTTTGCCAGATAGTCAAGCACCAACGTTGACACAAAACCCCTTGTTTTCTAATAGAGACACCATTTGTGAGATAAAGATAGAACACAAAGCTACCCAGCTATGTCTTTCCATAAGTGTTGGTGTTTTGTTTTGTTTTTTAAAGGGAAATTGTCTTCAGAGAGGCCTGGAAAGAGGGGAAGTTGTCTACATCACAGGCAAAGCCCTACTAATCGTCCTACTTTTTCCAAAGCTTTCCTGCATCCCACCTCTCTGGCCCCCCAGCTAAAGATTAGACAGGATTTCCTTCATAGACAGCAGATCAGCACTCTTTTTAAGTCTTTCTGAAGTTATTATTTGGGGAATCATCTTCTTAAGCTTAGCAAATTAGCTTTATAACATATATAGCTGCTGCTTACACTTCCTGCTTCTTTCTTTTCCTTTTCTTCTTTCTTTCTTTTTGCAAGTATGCCTTATTATACTCACAATACACAGCATCTCCCCAAGTCTTAGTAGCTGCACGGGTAAGAAAGGATGTGGTGAACAGGGGATCAAATTGCTGAAAACAGATGGTAGTCTGGGACAAGTCTGGACTGAAACACTATCACTGTTAGCCACCAAGCTGGCAACAGAGCTTTTAAGGAAGATAAGTTACAAACCAACCATGTGGAATTCACAAAAGAGTATTTCCAGAATCAGGCTTTTCTTTTTTAGCATATGCACTCATCTGCTCAAGTTTTTAAAATAAATGCTGGATTTGTAAGACAGCTTAATATGGAAAAACATTCACTGCTCCAGTCTTTGACTTCCTGGGGGAAACCATACGGGCTAAGCATGCAGACAGCACCAAGTGGAGGAGACAACCAAACAGACTCCTCAGAGTGATGGGGGCGATGGCCACTGGGCTACGGGGTCAAATCTGCTGCACAAAACCTAAAGACAACTGAATGACAACTCAAATAACCTAACAGCATTGAGACAAAACACACGGGTGCAGAGGAGTACGTTTGGCTGGGAAAGTCTTGCTGAGGTCGGACTTACATTCTATGCACTGTGTAATTAAATTACAAAGTGTGATGTTTTGTAGGAGCATATAATGGATTCCAAGTGGCTGCCCTGCAATTCACAAAAGGAGCAAGATAACAGTTTGTATACAGCAGCCTGGCTCTGGCTGAATATACTTGGGCTATTTAGTAACAACCTGGCTACACTTAATGAAAAGAAGCAGGTATAGAGGATTTGAACAGGGTTCTCTGACAATAGGATGCTGTCAAACAAATAAACAAACGCAAAAAACGTGGCAAAGGGCTTCACCTGAATCTAAGTACAAAGCGGAGTTGTTTGGTTCTGTTGGTAAAAGGAAGAAGGATGTAGGGTGAAAGAAGATACAGAAAAGGACCAAGTTTTCCAAAAACTTGCACTACATTCAGTCCACTGCTTTCAGCAGCAGGCAGCACTGAGTGCCAAAGGGCAGCCTGGTCTGGTGGTTGGTGACCCTGCACATAGCAGGGGGTTGGAACTTGATGATCATTGTGGTCCTTTTCAAACCAGGCCATTCTGTGATTTTAGGATATGTCGTCCTTACATACAACCAGATCATTAAGCACTCACGCACCTAAAGAGCTCTGATAAGGTCCAGCACAGACCCTAAGACAGGCACCCATGCACCCAGTGTCTCTTACAGACAAAGCACCCATTAATAAGCACACATTTACACCCTGGGCTTCGTGGCCTCTTGAGAAACTCCAATCAACTTCCAGTACAAAGCAGCAGTTGGAAGGAGACAATCACTGGAACAGGAAATCACGTCCGATTTATAATTCAAATTCCTCATGTTACGAAACTCCTTTTAAAATTATAAAAATAAAAAAAAAAAAAAAGAGGACAATTCATACTTTACAAACAATTGGACATTTGCATTATTCACTGAAAATAACTGGCTTATTGTGCAACTCAACAAATCTAAGTTGGGATACCGAGGAAAAAGGATGACCACGTTATCCTGTTAAGCAAGCTGACACAACCCAGTGTAATCCTGTGCTAACCAACACTGCTCCTGCTGCCATCAGGAGTCCATTTCTTCCTAAAAATAGTCAACCCTGGCCATGTCAGATGGAAGCAGAAGAAAGAACACTGCAGCAGACACAGAGTAAGTGAACCCTTAATCCTTCCCTGGACCTTGAGAAATGAGGCCTTGCTCTCCACCTAATGAAACTCTGCACATTGTGAGAATAAACCCCACTAGAATTGGACAGTGTCAGGAACTACTTCTCAAAACAGAGACTGCTACACAAATAGTCAATTATGAAACACCTCTCTTGTAGAAATTACAACCTTTTCACTTAATCCCTCTGCTTCCCAAAAGCCAAGCATCCCTGGTCTTTCTTTTCTGGTCCAACACGACACAGCATTCTGTTGGAATTTTGATTTTCTTCTTTGGCAAGAGACAGTAACGAAGCTCTCTTCTTTAAAAAGCATTTACTTCCATACCTCAGGGGGTTCTCAAAGCTGGAGGTCTGCTCTTGTTTTCTCTTGATTACAAACACTTCATACATCTTGAACTAACACTACATCCACGACCAGATTTCTATAAGCTCCTCAACCTGATTTGGAAGCATCTGCTTTCAATACAATCTGAACTGGAAGGCTATTAGCAAGATTGGATTCAGCCTCCAATCAAGACAGAACTGAGAAATGAATGTCATGTGCACACTGGCACTGCAGTTGCAGGCTGGGCTCAGAGATGGGGGAGGTTTGTGGCCCACATAAAAGTTTCTTTTCAGAGTACATCACAGAAAAGCATCTCCAAACATGCACATAATGTACTGTAAGGGTTGTCCAGATCCAATTCTATTATTATTATTATTATTATTATTATTATTTTGTAAATAAACACAGGCAGTTTTGTGCTTCCATCTTGGGATAGGGAGGGAGTAAAAGTAAGTACCTCATGTATGGAGCAAAAGGTCTGAGCACTCAGAGCAGCCACCTGGGCTAAGGAGCAGCCCTGAATCCCTATTGCCTGTATTGTCTCTACAGAGAAAACTAAAAAAAAAAATCTCAAAACAGGCTGCTAACCACCATTTAGTCACACAAGCATTGTGTTCCCACAATGCAAACGTTTTTACTGTTTGAACTGCCCACTTAAACCATCGTGGCTGTAGATGCAAGAAGCACAGATGGCTGTTCTGAATGACAGTATGACTTCAGAGTCCACCCAAAGGGTCAGCTGTCCATCATTAGGCTAATTGGAGTGGCTTATGAAATTACTTTAATCAGGAAAAACAACCTCAGCGCTTGGGAATCCTAACTTCTTGAACTGCTCCAAGTCAATCTGGTGAAGAACCTCCTTTGAACATGGAACAGATTAACACAGCGTCCTGTAGCACTGCATGGCCTTGAAATTACTCTTCATTCTATCCCACTTCATACCTGGAGTTAACAGAGCTAAGAGCAAAGATGCTGAAAGACAGAACTTACCCTCTGCAATGCAGCTTTCTTGTATACCTTTCATATGAACTTAATATCATCAGTAAACACAGACAAATCCAACCTGACAAACTCGAGCTCTAACAGGAAAAGGATACAAAAACATCCAGGAACAAAACTCCAAAGCTCCCGAGGAGCCATGGAAGATGGTGTAAAAAGTAGAGGGCCCGGACAGATCCAGCAGCAGGCATCTTTAGGACAAGGCTGAGGCCATACGTGCAGTTTCCCAGCATGGCCAATGCAAACAGCAGGTAAGAGGTGCCTTCTGTTGACTTTCTCTGAAACTAAAGACAAGGAGGTTTATACAGAAAACATGTTTTAAGATGCATCATAGTAAACATTTCTATATAACTCTGGCACTTTCTATTATCACACACTGAAGGATTATTTTCAGTCACTCCTCTCCATCTTTTCCTGAACCCTCACAGCTCAGTATTTTCAGCACATACCACTGAAAGCAACTGAAATTGTTACAGCTCTTAGAAGCAGCTCTGCTTAATGTAGTTTTTATGTAGGTGCAAAGCAGCAAGGATAATCTGCTTCCAAATGATATTTAGTTCTTAGGCAATCTGTTTCTCTATCAGTGTGCACAGTAGAGCCCTTTGAAAAGGTTGTTGTATTCCAGCTGGAATGGAAAAGGTAAGGAAAGGGGAACAGGAATAAGCTTGGAAATGAACCAAATCTTCTTATAACCAACTAAAAGATGCATATACATTTGATGATGTAAAACCTGCAGGATTTTTTCTTCTATAGCCTCTCATTTTTATTTTTTTTTTAATATGGGCATGTTAAAAAAAGTCAGTAATGATATCTTTGAAGGGAAAAAAGAAGGGCTAAAGCTTTAAACTACTTTTCCTGTGATTTTAGTTTTTGATCCTGCAGTTGGTTTCTTAAAGTAGAATTGTTTGGGGAAAAAAAAATAAGGGAGGCATCAGTTGCTCATGAGAACAATCACACAAAGCACATTTCTGCTTATATATCTCCTAAATCCAACTGCAAACCTTCCTCCATCCTGCCCAATCAATACCCTTCTACTGATTAAAGACCATCATTTTCCTAAAATTCTCACCATCCTCTTTTGAAAGGGAAAAGAAAACACTTCTTTAACGTTTTAGACTGTCACAAAAGCCAGGGAGGCTTTCACACTTTGAGGCCAAATCTCAAGCAACGCAGAGCATTTGGTAAAATATACAAGTATGCTCAGCCAAAAACAGACTTACGTTTTTATACAGCTGAGGAAATCTACTTCCCAAGTAAAACACACAGGATATATAGCCACAAACGAAGCCTGACATTTCAATCATATCGAGAGAGTTCTGAAAAATAAAGGGACATATATTTTGGCAAGAATGTTCTCAAGCATTTCAAGAGACTTAAACTGAGAGCCCGCCGGCTGTTTTTTTGGACAGAACTTTCAAAGCAGCTCAGGGCTGCTCTTCAAATGACCAAAAAGGACGAGGAAGTGTTTCATCTTTATCTCACAACAATGCACAGTGCTGCGTCACGGCTGAGACCGAGATCAAAATGGGCACCAGGCTTCAGGACATAACACTCGTATCAATCCAGTTCTTCTGCTAAAAAAGCCTGGGCACAATAATTCAAGCCAAAACTAAAAACCCGTAGCTAGGGCCACTAAATTGTTAGTTTTCTCATTTTAGCTGTATTTTGAAAATAAGCTGCTTCCCTGCTGGGCAATGTTGCTGGATTACAATTATTTTACCGGCATTAACACGAAGGCCATCAAATTGCTAGAACAGCCTGTGAACTTTGCTGGTAAAGTGACAGCAGCAGCAGCAGGTACAATTGTAATTCCCCACTTGTTATTGATTGCACTTTTCACTACACAGTCTCTCCATGGATGTCTGCAGTACCCAACACAGCCAGAAAGACAGCACGTGGACGTGTCATTTCACAAAGCAGCACATCCTAATAACCCAAGGGACAGAATGAACCCGAAATACAGGGAGCTGCTATAAAAAGCTATTTTGCAGCTTATTTATTTTGGAATGTAGGGTACGGACTTAGAGATCCACACGGTGCCACATTTATGGCTTCTGAAGCATCGTTAAAAACATCACCCAAATTTCTTGAAAACTCAGAGCACACAATGTTTTCAAGACTGAATTTGTCAGCTTCGTTTCTTGGAATGGAAGCAGGTAAGCACTTACAATACTTCTTTCCATCGCTGAACTCTGGTCTTGCTTTCTGATAAACAGCTGGCAGGGTAAAACAACACACAGGGTTATGCACATCAAGATCCAGGTTATACAGAAATTCTTCAGCCTTCTGCTGCCTAGAATGATAAAAATGACAAGCAAATGAGCTGGAAAATAACACCTGCTGTTCAGGTTATTTTTCATCCGCAATACAAACATGTAAACGTCTCACTTCAGCCTAAAGATTCCACCTCCTTGGGCTCTGTCCCCAGCCCTGATCACCACACACTGTGTCTACTGAACCACTGCAGGAGCATTCCTTTAACAGGCACTGCTCCTATGGTGACTGTCACCAGTGGAACAAACGGCTGTATGGCATCAGAAGCCTGCCCCATAGACCTGCAACCTGTATCACAGGGACAGGAATTACTACAGTGGTTTCACAGCCTGTGCTTGGATTGTGACCAACTCACAAAACGGACCAACTTGTCCATGGTCAGAGCTCTAAAACTGGGTATTGAGAGCTCTCTTGTACTGCTTTATTCACAAATACTATTCTTCCCTCTCCAGCTATGCAGAGTTGAGCTGAAGCAGGCAGGGGCAGTTATAATGCACAAAATCCCATGTTTGTTTGCAAGAGCAGGCAGTAGGAAGGAGGCATCTTCAGCACTGCCCTATCCTCAGGTTTATTATCAATACCATATTGAAAGAATTGCATTTATCTTACTTAGTGTGCTGCGCAGGCGTGTGCTTTCCTTCAGCTTTTTGTTACTCCCGCTACACCACGGGCTTCCTTTGCTTTTTAAAGACTGATGATCTACTGTTTTTGATTGCATGCAATGTGCACAGTGCTTTCTGCCTTCTATTTCAATAGTCTGTTTGTTAGACTGAATATTACAACTACTGCCAGTGATTACAAAGCAACTCGAGTAATTTTGTTCCTCTTGAATGCCTTTAAATTGTATGCATTGAAACAGAGCGCATGAAGATGTCAAGTTATCTGATGATGTAAGCAAATGAAGTCCTGTTTTAATCAGCACGGAAGAAACTAACTGAACCACACAAAAAACAACACTTAATTTCAACTTCTCTGTATATTTAGGTCTCTGTAAGTAGACAGTAAAACCATGGAGCAAATCATAATATGGAACCAGGTTCTGGCTTCATTTCCTGCCTATATAAACTGGCTGTACTACATAGAAAGTATTGACAGATATTGAGTGGTTAAGAGGAGGGGAGAAAGGCAGGAGAAAAGAATTTTCACATAAGACTGAAAGAACTGGAAGAAATAGCCCTAACAACTCCAGCTGGAATCTGGGTACCCCATTTTTAGATAGGCTTTATTTAAACTCTGCAGAAAACAGGAAGGTGAAGAACCTGCGTTAAGGAAAATGTTTTCACTGTTAAAAAGCCTCACCTTTCATCGTCTTCCAATTCTTGAGCTTGCAATAGGCAAATTGTGAAATCAAAATGATATCCATGTTAACATAGGAGATGGCAGTGATAGTCTGAAAGAGAAGACACATTTGCTTGTTCAGTACACATAGCACAAAATACCATCAGAACCAAGTTGTGTTTCTTAATAATAACGTGCACAACAAATAGAAAGCCAGTGCCAAAAGAAGGAGGAAAAGCATTCAGAGGAACAAGTCTGACAGCAGCAGATTGATGCAGCGTAAAGTGTAAGAAAATGGAAGAGCTGAAAATAAGAGCAGCAGATAAGAAAGCTTCAGACACAAATAACTGACAACTACTGCTTCCTCCAGAGAAGCCCTCCCTTCACTGAAGATACCGTAATTTTGGATTTGTAAGGGATTAACAGCTTCTTTGAGCTGGTGTTTCTGTTATTAAACACTTCTCCTAAAATCAAATACACAAAAGGAAATTTTAAGAGTAGTTGCAGCACGGTAGCTTAATCTATCAGAAGCTGAACAGCACAACTTGCATCCAGCTCTGTTTGCTCTGCAAACTTACTTTGAAAGAAAAATTTAACTGGGAGATCCCCACTTCATCCCAGTAAGTATCTCGTAACGCTGACTGCAGAAACGGAATGGTTCCTGCCACACATAATGGTATCAAAGTAAACATCTGAGAAATTCTGACCATTTTTTTTTATGGATAGTAGATCAGTGAGCAGAATGTAAAACTATTTTCTGCCGTGGTGCCTACTGGACTGTGTATTATCACAGCATCCTAGAGTTCAAAGAGACATTCTGAAAAGAATATATCAGAAAGTAGAAATATCTACTGATTACCTGAATTGGCAGTTGATTTGTTAAATAGCAGCCTATCAGATTTGTGACATCTCCAGCCATCCAACACAGCAGAAAGCCCAAAGACAGCGCTTGGTCCACCTTTCCATCCCGACAGGCAACGTGAATTTGACTGGCACAAATTCCAGAATTGGGACACACTGTTAGCCAAAAATGCCTGACAAGTTGTAACATACAATTTTCAAAGTCTGAGTAAGGAAAGAATAACAACAGAACTCCAAGAGACCCATCAGAGCAACATCCACTGACACTCAGAAGGAGAACTCAGTGTCACCAGTGCTGACCGTGTCTTACTCCAATGCTAGAGGCTGAGATCACAACTTCATTACTGCTTGTGTGAACTTCTGTGTGTGCTATGTGTGTGTCTTCTGCAGTGAAATATCAGTCTGGACACCAAAACTATGCCTTCATCGCTTCGCACTCATCAGCTGGAAATACCAGCCTTTGAAATCCTGAAACAGGAAATGCTTTTAACAGAAGGGCTAAGAACGAACAAAGCTTCTGTGAGAGCTGACAACAACACTTAAGCCTCGAAATTGAAGAACTGTTCTTCAAATTCACAATGGGAACTATGAAGCAATCCCAAATTTCAGTCCATCAGACACGTCTTGATGAATCACATAGTGGCTAACGTGACACTCTGAATGTAAAGCCTCCTTTCAACTCATATTTCAAAAGCTCTACAGCTTACTGAGCGTGTTCTGATTTTGATTTCCATCAGCCTTTCATTAGTTCAGTAAACTATATTCCTGTTATGAGGACAATCCTATTTTGTTTTGGGCACTTTCACCTCCAAGCAGCATTTCTACTTTCCTTTTGCCATCTCCTACCTTCACATTGGAAATCCAAACCCAGTGCCAGTTCTCCCAACAGCAATTGGTTTTGCACTACCAAAGCAGTAACTCGTGTTCCTGACTTGGTCTTAGTCTGAATTTCACTGGCAGGACCCAGCTCAACAGCACTGGTGACATGGCATGTGGTTTACATACACAGTGAGCCAGTCTCTGCAGCAAGCATGCTGTGTGCACACATCTCAGGGTGGAGAAGATAAGGGAGAAGAGGTGATTTATTCTCATTTTCTCTAAGTGGCAGAGATTAGTGTCAAGCCAGTACAACAGAACAGTACATCAAGCTCATTTGTCAACCACCAAATATTGTTCTAAACATGAACAACATGCTTCTCTGGCATAATATATCTGTATTATGCAGAGAAACATATCCAAGATAAACTTAAAAAAAGGCAGCTTGTGAAAAAGGCTTCAGGCAAGATTACTCATGTTTCAATCTAAGGGCTGCCAAAGACTTGAAACTTACGGTAGTGCAGCAAACAGAAAGCAGACAATGGAAGTCAGTCCTATGACAACGCTGCAGTACTCCCATGCATTCTCCACACATTCTTCCAGAAGATGCCAAATCCACGGTGTGCCATTTATACACAGACTCCTATTCTCTACTGCAGAGATATTGAAAGCATATGCATGCAGCTGGGAAGCCATCCCTTCTGGACTGAGGCTCAGTTTCAGAAGTTTATTTCTGCCTCCATTTTTACCCCATGCAAATCCGCAAATCCGTTTACCAAAGCTGAATATCTGCTGTGAAAACCCTCTGCATGCAGACGGATGCTTGAGATCACAGTTATTCCCAATCTCATAAACAAACCTGCCAAATTCAACGAAACAAATACAGCCAGTGTGAATATGATGTTAAACATAAGATGCTTGCTCTTATTTATTGCTTACAGAAAAGATGTCGGACTTCCAAGAAAGAAGAGATGCTTTGTGGTCCATCACATTCATTAATGCCTGACAACTATTTGCAACGCTCTGGATTTATACCGCTGCACCACTTTAATCTGAGCTCACGTTAGGCAGAGATTGCCAGTGATGCTCAGGGCTCAGAAAACTGCTACAGGGTAAAGTAAACAAAAAACAAGATTTGTACTTATATCAAAACTCTGATTTTTATGCTTAGCATTATTCCAGTGAAGTAAGGATGCTCTCTTTAATGAACACTCCACCCTCCCCTTGCCCAAGGAGGCTGTGGATGCCCCATCCCGGCAGGCATTCAAGGCCAGGCTGGATGTGGCTCTGGGCAGCCTGGGCTGCTGGTTGGTGACCCTGCACACAGCAGGGGGTTGGAACTGATGAGCACTGAGCTCCTTTGCAACCCAGGCCATTCTAGGATTCTGTGATTCTATGATTCACACTTACAAAACACAAACGTGGTGTTGAGTTCCAGGTAATTCACTTCCAGCTAATGTTATGAAAAGGAAATCCCTTAATGCTCAGATTGCAGACAAGCTCTTACGCCTGCCTGCATCTAAGTAGCCCATCAGACCAGTCAGGGATCCAGTACCCTGCCAGACAGCTGAGGAAATTGGGAAAGTATTTACTATGTAAACATTCACAAAGTCAATAAAGGTAATCCCAGCCCAAACACACCCCCAAGAAGTCCCCAAACAACAAGAAAATGAAAGGACTCACTTGGCTAGACAGTGAGAAATTGGCTTTTTTCCTTCTCTTTTCAGACTTCAGGTATCTGCAGCGCTCAGTGCTGGAACAAGTTTTCTGCAGAAGCTGGCTGCCTCTCAAGGGAACTATCATCATGGGACCTAAACCACACAGACAATAAAAACAAACACATTTTCATACGCTGAGAATTCACCTGTATGAGATACTCAGCTCGTGCTGGTGAAGTCACTGGGCTTTGCAGTCATCTTTGCAAATAATTTTTAAAGTTAACAATTATCTGTGAGCAGCATTGCAGGTAAGCTTCCCATTCTGGCACTCTGCAGCTGAACAGGGTGTCAGCATCCACTAGGAAGGCAGAAGCATCAGAGCACGCACACTGCTGAACAGGCCTTAAGCCATGAACTGTCAACCAACTGTAAGCACTGAGACACAAACCACACGTTTTATTAGATACCACTGCACTTCAACTTCATCCCAAGTGTCCATTTCAATATATCCAAAACATAGGAGACCAAAAACAAAAAAGAAAGAAAACCAAGGTTGAACATGGTATTTAAAACTACACCTGAGTATCTTCATTCTAGTCTGATTAGTGCATACAAAAACTCAAGGAACATGGACTGTGGGCTAAGAAGTGTAATGTGGCAATTTGGGCTCAGTCATCTGAACTCCTGCTGCTCTCTGCTCCAAAACTCTACAGCTAGGATAGGAAACAGAATGCTTTCAGAAGCAGTGGGAGCTGGGACTCAGCCAGGCCACCACTGCTTCCCAGATGGGCCACTCCTTGTATCTCCCTTTTTGGCCTTATTAACACTAACTGCTTTATTTCTGGCTGTTCTTAAAACTTCAGTGTCCCAAAAAGAGCCCTATCACCCAAACAAAGAATCCAACCCCAGCTCAGAACAACTGGATGCTGTAAACCTCAGTGTGTCTGACACAAACCTGAAGTCCTTTTCCACTGCTGGAAGGGAAAGGCAATGTGGTCAGTATTGTTGGCAGCTCCAGTTAGTTTACATCTGGACTAGGTGTGCCAGACCAAGAGACCCACATCATTTGGAACTGACACACTGCATATCTATGCTCACAGTGCCAAAGTAGCACGGTGTTTGAGCAGAACCAATGCGAATGGATCCTCCTTCACTTCAGTTCTTCCTCAACATTTAAACAAGACCGACCACCTCTCTTCTGTCGCATGAAATGCTTTCCGCCTGCAAACAGAATGAGATTGGTACAATGTTTCTCTCCTTTCAGTTGATGAGAAAGGAAAACAACATAAAAGGGTGACTTATGTTTCTATAATATTTCTGGGCCTTAACAATCCCCTGCCTGTAACTTCACCCTAATACATAACGACTGAGAAGTGAAATCCCCCTCATTAAGCCCAGCCCCACAGCACCAAGAGGTCCAGCCATCCCTGGGGCCATGGCACAGCCAACTGCTGCAGGATCATAGGATCACAGAATGGCCTGGGTTGCAAAGGAGCACAGTGCTCATCCAGCTCCAACCCCCTGCTGTGTGCAGGTTACCAATCACCAGACCAGGCTGCCCAGAGCCACATCCAGCCTGGCCTTGAATGCCTGCAGGGATGGGGCATCCACAGCCTCCTTGGGCAACCTGTTCCAGAGCCTCATCACCCTCAGGACATCACACTGTGAGCAGTGCTGCAGACTCTGGGACAGCCTGGAACTCGGAGGGATGCTCGTTCAGTTGTGTGCTACTCATAGAACGGGTTGGGTTGGAACCTTCAGGATCGCGCAGCTCCAACCCGCTGCTGCAAGCTGAGACGCCTCCCCCTGCCCCAGGTTACTCACAGCCCCATCCAGCATGGCCTGGCTGTCTCATTATTCCTGGGGGATAAGAATTAGAACCAACACTGAGCCCAGGGGGTATTTCCGAGCTCCTGGGAGCACTCCCAGCCCGAAACCCTCCCGCTCCTCCCGGCTGCCAGCTGCTTTCCCACCTCGAACGCCTCCTCCCGAGGGCTGAGGACGGCCGGACCGCACCCAGCGCGGATCCCGAGAACGCTTCTCACTCACTGAAGAAAAGAAAACGAGAAGCAGATATCAAGAAGAGCCGTTCCAAAGAGGAGCCCGGCAGACGGCCACCTCCCAGCGCAGCTCCGTCCGCGGAGAGGGACGCCGGGGGGAGCGGAGCTGCGCGGAGGGGCTGCCCGGCCATGGCGGCTCCCGCTCGGCACCGAAGAGGGAAGCAAGCACGCGAGCGCGGCACACACCGACCTGCCCTGAGCTGCTGCTGCTGCTGCTGCTGCTGCTGCTGCTGCTCCGCCGACCCGAACCCTGCGGGGAAAAAGGGATGAAAATCCCCGCACCGCACTCCACCACCCCGCGCCCTTACGGAGCCGCCCGCACGCCCCGCCCTCAGCGCCGCAGCGGTGGGAGCGGAGCGCCCTCTGCAGGCGGCACGGGGCGGCGCTGCGCGGTTCAAGCTGGGAAAGACCTCCGCCACCCCCGAGTCCCGGCCAGGCGCCCTGCCCGCTGAGCGCGTCCCTCTCGGAGCGGTCGCTCGAGAGCCGGGGGGTTGTTTGGGCTGTGCTCCTATTTGTACAGCGGCGCGGTGCGCTGGGCTGAGCCCGTGCCGGAGCTCCTGGGCGTCTAAAAAGTGGGGGAAATCCGCATTGGAGCCGCGGAAGTGCCGGCTGCAGGCCTGGCAGCAGCGCCTGCTGCATGGCAGTAATCGTGGAATTGTAGGGGTTGGCGTGGACCTTTGGGGGTCATTCAGTCCACCAGATATGGCAGCAGAGTACAGCTGGAAGGGCCTGTATACCCCCCACTGAATTCCAAAATCTAGGCTTTTGGTGCCCAGGCTGTACATCCATTGGACTTCTGACGTAGATTTCCAGCTCTCAGACCGTGCTGTTGAAAGCCCTGTGTGTAGATGTAAAAGTGAGATTAAATAAATAACGATGACATTCATAATCCTCATAGATATGGCACCCAAAAAAAGGCTCCGTCAAGGGAAGAACAACTTTTTTTGGCTGATATCCATGTCAGCCCTTCTACTCCAAAGAATCTGTAACCAGTAATATCTTTGCAGTGCCCCCAGACCTGCTGTTGCTGCCAGCACTGCCCCTTCACTTCATTGGTAACAGCAATTAAGGATCCAAGAAAGGAAGCAATCTAATGAACAGTCCTGGGGTCTTTGTGGGATATGTACTTTCAAGCATGAATATTTTAAAGTATTTTGATAGGAAGGAATGTTGTATAATTTACTGAATTTTTAATACAATTTTACTTCTATTCTCATTGTTTCTGTAGTTACTGCTGTCTAGCTAATTAACACAGGGTTGGGAGGATGATTAAAGCAAAGCTCAGTGTCTGCATTGTGCTGGTTTAATTGCTGCTCAAACCATGGCTCTGTGTTGGTTTTGGCAGCTGAGCAGTGCTTGCCTGGCACTGAGGAAGTCCCATTTGTGTCCATGAGGCTCATCTGCTGCTGAGTGGTGAAGGCGTGCAGCTTTGTGCATGTCTCCAGTAGGACACGGGCTTGGGGAAGAGATGGATTCTGTTCCACGCCTCAAAAGCATTTGGCTGAGATGCCCGCATGGCATCGGTTATGACAGGGTGGGATGGCCGGGGTCTGCTGTGCTTCACAGAATCGTTAAGGCTGGAAAGGAGCTCTAAGGTCAGCAAGTCCAACCCAACCTCACCGTGCCCACTGACCACATCCCTCCTTCGTGCTCCTCAGCCCACAGCTGGCTCTGAAAGGGCACAGGGAGCAGCAGGGCTCAGGCCTGGTGCCACCCAGGGAAAGGCATTCTCCATGCAAGGAACCCACACAGCATGTACCCCAAAAGCTGGGTGTGAGCCTGGGGCCATGCAAGGGCAGCAAGTGCAGAGATCACACGGGTGGATGGAGGGGGTAAAACAACAACACTGTGAGAGGAGCACGGCGCTGGGAAAGGTTTGTGCCAAGGTCCTGAGAGCACTAGCAGGCCTCGAGGGACCTGAGCAGTGAAAAAGTGAATAAAGATAGGACAGTGTACTGATAGACAGGCAATTATCCCATAAATGTAAACTACACAGAAGAGATATGTACAGCATTATATATTTATGGATACAATTTTGTTCTACTGACACATAACAAAATGAATAATACATTAGCCCGAGAACTTGTCATTGAGTGGATTTCTTTGTTGCCTTGCCATTAAAATAAAGTCTTTGGTCTGTA